CTCGTAATCATATTCAATTTTCAAATGAATAATATGAGGCCACTGATAAAGAAAAAGACAACTGAGACTAATACCAGACACTTCGAGCCGACATAAACGAGGTAAACTGTGTAAAAATTCGATGTGTTTGTAAGGCAAATTTTTATTCCACTCGCGATCAATGCTACATGTCGTAATTTGTGATGTATCAAGACCAGCTGTGAGATTTTTGAGCGTCGAAGGAAATGTAGTAGTAACTTGTGACAAGTACAACTTTTTGATATTAGTGTACGGGTGTAAGTGCTGACATTTCAGATATTGATTATTAATTATTAAACAATGAACATAAGAAAAAAATGTTGACTCTGATGCATTTGATTCTGATATTACCGTTCGAATCCTCTGAGGTGATGGATAGCAAATAATTGAAAAGTTACTCGAATAGTGCATGAAACATTCATCAGCTTTAAAGCTTCGATCGTATGTAACAAACCATTTTTTCTCTTCCAGCCAAAATTTCGTGCGAAATGAGTCAAGATTGAATGGTTGTTGTTGGAAAGCATCATCAGAAAATTGAAGTTCAAACTCGAAATGTTTGATATGTTGTAACGATTGTGCCCAGGCAAAACCATCCGCCATATCATTATCCACATCATCAGCAAACACTGCCAAATAGGTAAGACGTGGAAATGACGAAATTAAAGTTACCATTTCTGTCCAAGTAATAGGGCACAGTTCGATCTGCAATCGTTGTAAATACAAAAGATGAGGATGAATTCTACCTAATTTTAAGTCTGGAGTTTTGAATTTGGCTTCAAGAGTGTGAAGCATAGGTGCGACGGCGAGAAGACTCAATAAATCGATTGATACGGTTTCTGAATGGAGATATTGAACAGAAGATGATATTAATGAATTCGGGGGATGAATTTTCACATCGCCATCCATAACGTCCGGCATTTTGACAGAGAGACGTTTGAGTAACGGCGAAAGAAAGAGTAGTTCGCTAAGAGTAGTAGATGTCACCAATAAACGCGATGATATATTAGAATAAGAGAAACAAATGGAGAGCGTCACGATACGTGGTGGAAGTCGAGTTTTGAATAAGCCCCATGTCTTATAGCTTATAGATGTCAAATTTAGTGAACGAAGGTTTGGAAATGTTGTATCGATGATGCTGAATCGCGAGAAGAAAATAGCATTTTTCATATACCTCATTGCATCGTCTTTATCGAACAATGTCAATGATACAATTTGAGAGGTCGAATGAAGCAATTGATTACAGATAGAATCAAACTGACTCTTGTTCATCGATGTGTCCATACAACTAAAGTTCAATTGAAAACGAGAATAAGTCAGAGAAGCCGAACGAAGGCGTTTGTTGACGAAACATATAGATGAGAGGATATCAAGTGACGGAACATTGTCTAGAATGTTATGAATTAATTCCACAGGTAATGTTGTCAGATAATCCGACATAGTTTTTTTCTGATTATGTGACTGCTATTTCTCAATTTCACAGAAGTATATATATGGACGATTGAAAACAATAACCGTCCTGTTCGCTTCATTAAAATATTCGATGAGTGTAGTGGCCGTATTCTGCCGACGGACACAACTATCATTCGATAAATTCGTCTTGTTCATAGCAATTTCAGGTCGAGAGACTAACAACAGCAAACTATAGAAAAAAAAACATGTGTCCTCGTTCGCTTTTTTCATAATCTGCACTTGTTACGCGTGAGTTCATTTCCTCTGAATAGACATTGAGAGGTCATAACTCCGACGCGCGAATGCATTTGGTATTTCATCAAAGAAAACTTGTTTGTCCCAGCGATTTGTGCATATCTGCCATTGGAACAATATGGACTTTGTTACTTTATCATATTCATTTTCCTCCATATTATGGAGATTGGTGTTTTACATCCTATGTGATATGTTCTTGATCAGCAATACGTTCGAGTTGTCACAGCAATTCATGACCAATGTACAATTTATTATTACTATTTAACCGACAAAAGAAGAAATCAAAAAAAGTGACTAAAAAAATTTGAAAGATGTTTGTCTTCGTGGGAAAGACTGATGAAGAGATGCATTTATAAACACCATTCACTATAATGACATTGTCATCAGTATATCTTGGTAAAAAGTTTTCTCAGTTGTTATTTTTCTTTCAATTCTCTCGTTTCTAATCACATCGTTTCTGATTCTGATAACAAAGATTCGACTTGTAGATCGCTTTTCTCTGATACAAACAAGATTTCATCTGCAGGAACTATTCATTACTGAAAAGATCTCTTTTTTTTCTTTTTATTGAATCATGTTTGTTGTTTCTTTCTCTCTGATAAATATTTTCATAATTAGAAAACAAGAGTCAACAATTATGAAAATATCAATTACACATCTTATGCTTTTTATTTTTCTTATTTCTCTGAAATAAATATCAAATATGAAAAAAAGTATCAAAAAAAAAGATAGAAGAAAGAATTCTTGGCTTTTCTAATTTGTTCATCATCCGATATTGAAATAATCATGGATAAAATTATCAATCGTACAGCAGATTTGATTAACAGAATATAAGAATCATCATCACAATTGCATTTAAACCTGATGAAATCTCAGTTCATTGAAATTCGTAATGATCTAAATCGATTACTTGAATGAGACTCATGAAGAGTAAATAGGTTTAGAACTTACTTTTTTGGCATTTCACGATAAATTTTTAAGCTCAGATAGAGCATATTCTGTGCTTTCAAGAAATAGATTTGTTAAAGGAATAAATTCTTTTGATTAAAGTTCTGCAACTCATCCAGATACTTAAATCAGTCTGGAAGATATCTGAGTCTGGGTACAGATAGACTCGATCGTTGTTCTCGATAAATTCATTTATTGTTAATCAAAATCTTTCGTTTTATTGTGTATTGAAGATATGATGAATTTTCTGTTCATAGAAAAAAACAAATCTCAGCTGTTTCGTTGTAATTCTTCAAATTAGCAGCATGTCGAAAAAAACGAGTAATTCATTAAAACTTATGTAAATAGCATGTTTACAAAAACCTTACTATTTTGAGATAAACTTTTTTAATTTGTCATCTTTTTCATTAGACTATCATATATTCACTGACAGACAAAAAGATTCATTGGATTACTTTCATTATCAGTAGAGGGTGTGGGTGTGGGTGTAGTTATTCATCTCATCTACACCCACCCTCCACACCCTCACTCAAATCCACACCCACACCCACACCCTGAAGATTGCTCTACAAGACCCTATACTTGGACTTTTATTGCATCCCGAGAATAATCTAGATATTATGATAAATCTTTAAAAAGAAGGAGTCCATGTAACGATACCGAGAACGAGTGACAGGAACATAGTTAATATTATTGATTTCGTATGCGCATGTAAATCAGCAATGTGAGAAACCCCTAAATCTCAGTTTTTTGCATAATCGGTTGAATCGGTAACGAATTAGATCAATGTTAGTTTAAGGGTACAGCATTCAATACTGCCGGAAAATGGCCTCTGAAAGCTGCTTCCCTTAGTCAATTTTGAAAACCAACCAAAGTGTCTAAGTACTCCTTGATATCGGGAGAATGAGCATCAAAAACGGAGTGGAATAGAACGTTTCAATAACGTACTTCGGAAGTCTATATTAATTTGTTAGAATAAGATAGAAAATTAGCTAATCCATTTAAGGGTTGCCTACGACTACTTTTTTGAAGTCGGCTTCATATTGAAATACAATATTTATGTACCGGATTCTATTCAGTTTTTGATGCTCGTTCTTCCGACATAAAGTAGTGCTTAGAAACTTTGGTTGGTTTTCAAACTGACTAAGGGAAGCAACTTTCAGAGGCCATTTTCCGCCATTATTGAATGCTGTACCCTTAAAGTAACATTGATCTAATTCTTCACTGATTCAACCGATTATGCTAAAAACTGAGATTTAGGGGTTTCTCACAATGCTGATTCAGATGTGCATATCGAATTAATAATATTAACTATGGTCCTGTCACTAGTTCTCCGTATCGTTACTTGGACTCCTTGTTTTTAAAGATTTATCATGATATCTAGATTATTCCCGGAAGGCAATAAAACTTCAAGTATAGGGTCTTGTAGAGCAATCTTCATTCTACAAAACCCGTTATAGCACTAAATTGTAGAATTCGGTCTAAGAGAATTTTGGATGTACAAATTTGGATACCTATTTTTACCATGTCTACCTAATGATGCCTGGGAAATATTTTTCCATCGTGAATGAATTCTTGAAAGTGATATATGTGCAAATACGCCAGATCATAGGCAACAAAAAAATATTGTTAGAATGGGTCTTCGGTGAATATGAGTAAAAAATATATGTACCAAGAGATTTGGAACATTTTAGGTTATCATTAATTGCATGAAATCCAAGCCAAACGTGTGTCTTGTATATCTCAACAATGGAACATGAAGTAGCCTAATTTTTTTTTACTATAGTTGTAACTCGTTGAAATCTACAATATACACGACAAATGGGCCGATTTCAGAGACCTTGTGTTTTTTTTTGGTTGAGATCCAATGGATTAGCACAATAATGAATATCACATGCAATTATGTAGAAACATAGATTCTTTTGAATGATGAAGACGGTAACTCATTGTATTTTTTCTATGAAATATTGCTCAAAAAATATTCACATTCTTTTCTTTTCGAATGAATAGCTGTAATTATAATATGGAGAAAAAATGTGAGCGACTATTTGTCTTTCCTTCTTTTTGTCTATTCACAGTGTGTGCTTGTAGCCACCTTATATCACCTTTTCTCCTGTTCTGTGCACATGAGAGTATGCCTACATATATTTCTTTCTTTCTGTCACTTTCTTCACCATGTGAGTGTTATTTTTTATCGCTACTTCCATCGTCACAAACGCATTCTTTTAAAAAAAGATAGATTCTTGAGTAAAGGTGAATTAGTTAATTATATATATTCTTTTTCTTTGAGAAAATAAACTGTAGTACTGATTTAATAAATCTTTTTGAAGATGTCTGAACACGAATCTGTCAACAAAACAGCATTATATTACGTCAATGAACCGCCAATTAATGACTATATCGAAACATTCTTTGCCAATTACGCTTCGATTCCGATCGAAAAATTGCGTGATCACTTATTGACCGTGCGTGATCGTGCTTGGCAAAAATGCAATTATCCATGTCTCGGTCGTTGGGTTTTTCTTCATTTTTCCATTCAAAAAAGTCCTATTTACAAAGAAATTATTGAAAAATGTAAAAATGAAGGCGCAACGGTGATTGATTTCGCATGTTGCCTTGGTCAAGATGTACGACAACTCGTCTACGATGGAGTACCTATTGATCGAATACGTGGCTACGATCTCGATCCTTTCTTTATCGAGCAAGGTTATAAACTATTTCGTGATGGAGAAATAATGCAACAAAATAAAGTATTTAGTTCGGGTGACATATTTAATGATCAATTTCTGGATGCGATAGAACCAGCCGATTATGTTAATGTTGGCGCATTCTTCCATATTTTTGATGCCGAGACACAAAGAGATGTGTGTCGACGTCTCACTCGCCTATGCAAACGTGCTATCATCGGATGGAAGACTGGTGCGTTGATACCGACAGAACTTCCAAAACCTTTATCATTTGAGGGCACTATGATGTGGCATTCTCCAGAAAGCTTTATGCGTATGTGGGATGAAGTTACAGATGGCAAATGGCAAGTGGAAAGTACTACTCTGAAAACGATGGACGGACTAGAAGATCTTGGTCTTGCACTCACTTTTGTAGTTAGAAAAAGAGGAGAACAATAATCAGATTTTTGTAGTTTTTCATTGTCGATCGCCAACAAAAAACAAACTGTAACTGATAATATCTATTGTAGAAAAGTATGAGGAAATAGATTGATTATGGTCTACTATCCAAGCTGTAACCATTTGTTTTCGGTTCAAATGGAAGATTATTTTGATTGAAAATTTTGTTTTGCTCTCTCTTTCTTTTAATTCTTCTTTATGTGATGTTTCGATGCCGAGGATGTCTTCTTCGGACGATTATAGCACAACAAACTACTGTTTTTTTCAAACAAGTATATATACAAACACTTTTCGTTCTTCACTTGTTCGTTCTTGATAATGGGTTGGCAGAAGAAGGAAACTGCTAGTCATTCTATCCTGTCACCAACTTGCCGATCCACTGTCAAGAACGAACAAGAAAAGAATAGAAAAATCGAGAGAAGAATGAAAAATGTCTGTGTATGTACTTATTTGAAAAATCAGTAGTTTGTTGTTCTATAATCGTCTGAATAAGATGCCCTCGGCATCAAAACATCACATAAAGAAGAAATGAAAAGAAAGAAAGAGCAAAACAGAATCCTCAACCAACAGTAGCTAGTATGAACTGTGCATTGTATGCTTTGGAAGGCGATGAGTAGCCACGATTCCAGTAGTTGGGAATTGGATAGGGGTCATTCAGCACGGATGGCTTTTTGACACAATCATTACTGTCGGATTCAAAATACCATGCAGCTCGATGTTTTTTGATTAACTTGAGAACGTAACCAGCTTCATATCCAGAGTTCAGAGCACATGGGAAATGAGTGGTATTGATGTAGCAATGTGATTAAATAAATATCATGAAAACGAATATTTTACACCACATAAAGACGCACAATATTTAGAGAAAGAAAGAAAGAAAGATTTCAAAAATTATTGCGCAGTAAACATCTCACCGATTATTCAACAGAAAGATAGAAATTGATCGTAGTCTAAATATTTTATATAGATTGTTGATTAGAAAAAGTGAATCATTGTTTTTGACAAAAGCTTTTTTTTGAATCAACAAAGTTTCTGATTTCATATGATCAACTTCAGATCATTATGACATAGTCAACATAATATTGACAGGCATTAGTTCAATATTTGCATGAGGATCGAATTGAATTACTTCAATTCTCAAAATACATACATCCACACTTAATGAAGAAGCACCTATACCAGTATCATATTCACCTCTAACACCTATATCAATAACTTGTAAACCTGAATTCATATAGATTATGTCACTGAATGAACACATTGTCATTGTTGGTGGACTAGCAAACCAACTCCAGTCACCCATAAGAGCAATATAATGGTTACCTGTAAATCCGGAAAAGTATTTATATCTATCAGCTGTGTTCAGAACGAACTTATTGGCGTAGAGTAAATAATGATCAATTATTAAACGAAGATACAAAAAGATATCTGCTGCTTGGTTCGAGTAACATCTGCCTTCAAACGAAATTTTATATGGTAATCGTTCTGTATGATAGAAAGACAATGTGAGACCAGGTACTTTCACAAATGTTAGCGATGCACCATGTAACGCATGGACTATTGGTTGTTGCTGTTTAACATAATAACTTTGAGAATGTATTAAACCACTTGATCATTGATTTGGGTTAATTCTGATAATGTTGTCCGGTAATGACTGGTTGCCATCACATGTAACAGTTATGCAGAAAAATATCATGTAAGTCTACTCTTACAACTAGATAAAAATAGTAGAGATACTGAAGATAAACGATTTGTACGAAAAGTTACCGGAGAATGGCAGTGAATGTGCATCGTTATCCTTTATAGCCACCGTAAACATTACAATGAAAGATACGTAGTCATTGCAAGTATAATGTTCCACATAGGTGTCATTTTTACCTAGTTAAGAATAATTGACTGTGACAATGAGCGAATTAGATAGCTAGTTTTAACCTCTTCTACAGGATAAACTAGTGTTATGTGATTCAACTATTCATTAATTCCAGAAAGTGCGATACAGCTGTCGTATTACACCACTGTATCAACTCGTAATTAAACCGCTGAAAATCAAGGTATCCAAAGATGTATAATATTTCATGAGGTGATGATACACAATCGAAAAATGACTGGAGAGAAAATAAGGATGTTGTTGTCGTGTTCTTGTTGGGAATGACTGCTTACTATAACATTGTTCGATTTGTACATGAGCGATTTATATAGTTAAACATGGTGCACAATTTTGTAACGAAAGGAAACAGGTACTCGAAAGTCAATTCCATTGAACAATTTATTCAGAAAGCATTTTAATGACCAATCGGTGTGAAGAATCTTGACCATTAAATCAAACTTTTGACCTCATTGAATGTATTTTAATGATAAATAGTTTCACATGTTTTTAGCACCATTTTAGACGTTTGAAAACCGATTCAGTGAGTAAACCAATATGACTAACGGACTGAAACTTGGGCTATCAAACACCCTACCCGTATTGCTACAAAGAATAATAGAGCACCACATTGCGATAGTCTTTGTTCTTCACTTTGTTTGATTCATCTCATGAACTAAGAACCGGCTGAGAGCACGATATTTCCTAGATTGTAAATCTGGTGAGAAACAAACAGACAATTTATCCTGATTGAATTCAAAAGATACAATCGATGGGCGTATTGTACAATGCAATAAGCATACAGTGAAATATTAGACGGTCGAAGTCCGATTGTCTATTGATTTTCTGAATATTTGATCTATGGACAATTTTCACATAGTTTATCAAGAAGAAACCGCGTTGGTGTTTTTCCTCTATGAAACTGACTAAAATAATGTAGATAACGGCATCGAATTCGAAAATGAAAATAAAAACACCATATACAATCACAGTGTTGCAAATCTTCATAGTTCGAATATGCTCTTCGTTGCGCAACAAAAAGAAGAGTCTCTTACTTTGGGAGTGTGCGTACGGATGTGGATTGCAGCTGTAGGTGTCTGGGTGTGGGCTTGGAGCAAGTAAAAATGTTGTCCATCACCTACACTCGTACCCTCCCACACAGACACCTCACACTCACACCTCACACTCACACCCACACCCCAAAAGCTCGGCCAGAAGCGTTTGGGCCTCTGATGACTCGAAGTACAACAAGCGGCGAAACATCGAAACCGTTGGAAACTACTACTGAACGAGCTTAAAGCCCAACCTAAAATGGCCAGAGGAAGAAAATAAATGAAAATCAGAATCAAGGGCAACTCGATCGTTGTTTAATCGATTTCGAGAAAAATGTTCGAATTAATAAATACGACTTTTCTTCTCGAATGCCAATCAAACGGCGTATCAACATTTCGTTTGACAATACTGCTCTTCGTTCAGAATGTTCCTATACACATCAAAAGCTCGCCAAATTCTTCAGCGACTGGACATCGGAACCAAAAGTCCGATAAGCGTATCGTGTTGGTCAATACTTCTAAGAGTTTTCTTTATCGACTCGTCAATAAAACATCAGTCGAGCACGACTTATTGATATTGCACAATCTTGGCGCATTCTGTTGGCTACTTTTTCATTGTGATTGCTCGTCTAAGTTTACCAATCTAGGTCATGCTGGTAAATTTTATTATGATGCTCAACTTGATAAGGATAATATCGAATCATACTAACAACTTATTGGTCTCGTTAAAGCTTGTGAGACTTTCTCATCAACTAGTAAGAATTGAAAGAAAGCCGAAACATTCAGTAGCATTCTATTTATTATTTAGCTTGTTACATTGGTCAAATATCCATATTTCGGCATGGATATATCATCACTATCTTTTTAAATGGATGAAGAAGAGATGCTTATCCGAGCAAGCAGGAATTTTTTCGTAGAGAACGCTGAACAAGATAGCGTTGCAGGAAAACATTTGATTTATTGATCGTTATGTTAAATCATTCGCAGGGAGCAACGACCAAATAAAGTCTAAGAATAGGTAAATGATTTTGAAAAAACACATCTGATGACATGTAAGTCACAATAAGAGAATAGAAAATATGAGGTATAGATTATTGTCAGAGTTGAGAATTGAACAGGTAAATGTTCAAAGTGGTTCTGCTAGGCTTCTCAGTGAAAGAACACTCCCTCCACCCAGTAATTCTGCCCTCGACGTCTTCACCAATGTATAATACGCAGTGAATAATGCCGCAATGTGCATGATCTAATGACATTCAATTTAAACAGAAAAAAAATGAAGTCTTTCATCAGTGTGCTAATTTTGACAACCGAAATTTTTCGGGATCAGATTTTTTTAAATTGAATTCAGCCATTGTCTTCTGCTTTATTTTATAGAGCGGTCAACGTGTTGCGTTTGAAATCGAATGAATTCGATATACTATGAAAGATGAAATCTTAAAACATTGTGTAAGATCTTTACATCATATCCGTACCATCGGCCATTTCAAATCTATTGTGGATATCAAACAAATGTGGCTGTGGATGAAAATGAGACACACTTGCATGCCTACAAACTCTTACTACATTATTGCTTCATTATCACACGATACTTCTCTAATTCAACATTTCATAATTGTTTACAGTAATATATTACACTGTCCAGATTTCTAGGTATTTAATCTATCTTCAAATTTTTCTGTAAAACAACAGTGCATCTACGGATGATTATGAAAGTAAGTTCTTACGTACATACAAACAGAATTGTATGCATGCACCTATTACATGGTAGATATACTTACATATATAGCACAAATAATCATTCGGTCATTCATATGAAAAATGAAAGAACAACTATATAATAAGTAGTCAATGACGCAAAATAATTGAAAGCATTTTCTCTTGGCACGTACGCTTTTCTTCAAACAGCACTTCTTAATCAATGTTCATATATACCGATCATTATTATTTTATTCTTGTGTTATTTCGCCGTTGTTGCATTATTCTAAAATAAATACTCTAAAATCAGATCGTTTATATGATGATTTTCCTTCTAATGCCATTAGTTAAATCCAATAGTATATGCAAATTACAAAAAAACTCTCTCATGTGCTTTATTAATTTCTATATATGAACTATTCTTTGAATATTCGTAAAATAGTTATTCAATATACTCAAGTAAACCTTTGAAGACAAGTAGGCATATACACATATCAGCTCCTCCGAAGTTTTAAGAATTCATGCAAGCATACTCAGTGAAGTGTATGATAGAGTTTTAATTAGAAGAAAATACCGAATCAGCCGCATAAAAGAAATAACGATGATGAAAGTATCGAGTGTAATCGGTCAATATTTATTCTGATTGGAACTGAAAAGTTTCCAAAACATGGTATCAATAATTTCTTTTTCACACAAAATCGTATATAAATCAAATTTACTTCATGTTACTACATTTTACATTTCAAACCATTGCAGAATGTTCAAAACTCAATCCTTTTTTAAATATATATTCATAATTGCAATACATACTAATATGTCAAAGACCGTTTTGGCTTTACTAGATATAATTCACAGCTTGTAGGACAGTAAATTTTTTCCTGTCGTTTTCCAGAAGGTTATCATATTCAATATGTTACACTTTCACTTTCGTGTATATGGAACTAATCGTAGCTAGTTTGTGACAGCAGCGATAAATTTTTCTGAGATTTTCTTCATTTCTATAATATGGTCAACAACAGATGCTTGAATTTTTTTAACATTTTATTTGAATTGTTCTACTGACACTGATATAATAAAAAAAAATAATTTTATTTCAAGTAATGCACGCAGTTTTGTTTGACAGTTTTTTTTATCACTGATCAGTGGTTGTGTTTAATTCCATACTTTTTTCTTAATTGATTTAATAATGAATGATTAAAAGGACAACTAATGTTGTTACCATTTTCAACAAAACCTCCTAATTGCCATTGACGATATTCGTGCACAAAGTCTTCTATCCACATATGGAAACAATCAAATGCTTTATCCGCCGTTCTTGTTGTAACTAAAGAACAGAATTCTTTATCTTTTTCACACATTTCAACAAATAATTGTCCATCACGTGCAAGATTATCATGAGGATTGACTGGTAATGAAAAACCTTGTAAAATAAGTTGTGAAGCTTGTCGAATTAATTTAATAATTTCATCTTTTTTAATACCTTTCGGTCGTTCATTTATTGGATAATAAAGACCTTTGATATAAGGTGTACCACTTGTCATATATTGATCGAGATATGAAGCATACCCTTTGCTTGTATTTTTTAATTCCACTTGTAATATACCTCCAAGATTAATATGCACAGATCCATCTGGTAAAAATGTTTGATACATTTGTCCAGTACCTGGTCCAGAAATGTGGATATCCATTTGACGTAAAATTTTTAATTGAGCTATGAAATTATTTTCAATTAATTCATATATTGGAGATCGAGAATCCATTGGAGTTGGATTTATTTGAGTGGAATTACGGTTTTGACCTCTAACTTTATCGTAGAAAAGATAAGAGATATGAACTAATGGCCATTGTAATTTAGTTGTGTTACTTGTAGTTTTATTCAAATAAGAATTAGTATAATTATTTATTTCATTTATAGCATCAGTGATTTCTTTTCGATCATCATTGGTATAACGTTTATTGTCAATAATATATGCTAAAAGAAGATCATGAGAAGTTCGCCTTTCAGATGAAGATTTTCGTCGAACAACTGGACGAATAACACCATGTTGTTGATACATTCTATCACGAAAAAGTCTTGAAGCATCTAATTCAACACCTCCAGGTAATTGTAAATTAGGTTGTGTACAACGTGCACACATTGTGCCACTACCCATAACCAGTTCTTCAAACATAAACCAATTTTCTTTTGACATTTTATCTAAAACGCTTTGTTTAAGAATTCCAAGACCACCAAAACGACTATAAATATCTTCGCTCCAACAATCATTACAGTCTTCTAATCCAGCAAGAATGCGAAAAGAATAAAGATGTCTTGGAGGAAAACGAATAAGTGCAACATATGCCGGATAAAGTCCATCAAAAAGTGCATGACCAATACTAAAATGCCAAGGTTGACTAAAATAAAGAGTAACAGATGGAATTATCCTTGGATCAATAATAGTACGAACAAATTTTTCAAGATCAGAATATGAATCAAAAACACGCTTGTTAGGTGTTATGTGCCACGTTGCTATAGCGTCTGCTCGTACAGAATATGTAGGCAAATATCTTCCTTTTACTGTTAAAATCATAAATTCATTATTAACATAATACAAATTATGATACAAACAAGATTGATTATATAATGAACCAACACATTGAATAGTTGTTTCTAGTGTTTCATTTTGATGAATAAATCTTGAATTTATAAAACTCAATGCATGTTTATTGATTTCTGATAGTAAAGGTTTTTCTGACGTCGTAGTTATCCAATTGTTTTTGCCATTATTAGCAGTTAGGTTGTGTTGTTCATTAGTTCCACTCTTCTCAAAATTCCATGCATTTAGAATTCGTGGCGTTATATTTTGTATTTTCGGAGAATTTAATCGGATAAAATTAAGAAGAATTGCGAGGATAAAAAGTAGTAGAAAACAAGATAACCAATAAATGAATCTTATTCTTGTTATTATTGTGAACATCATTGATAGTAATCTGAAATATATGTATATTTTTCTATCCAAAAACAATCAAATCAACAAAAACTGTTCAAGTAAATTTTCAAAAATTCATTAAATATCATATCTTCTTGTACATGGGTGAAGTTATCACCAGATCTAATTATTTCCACCTCGGATTCGCCCACTAACTTACTCCAAATGTCCTATTCTCGTTTCAAGTAGAATTCCACAAGCTCAATCGACTGATACAAACAGATTTCCTATAGCTCAAAAAAATCGCCCAAGAAACTGATTTTCTGAGTTTTTCCCCATGGGACTAGTTATCATCAAAAGAACTTCCACTTCGAGCTCGCTCAGCAATTTGTTTCAAATGTTCTATTCTTGTTTCAAGTTCAACTCCACGAGCTATATCGATTGGTATAATCAGTTTTCACATAGCTCAATCAGGGCACCTAAAAACAACCCAACTTTTTGATATTTTTGTTTCATCGGAGCAAATCATCCTCAAAAGTATTCCACGTCGGATTCACCAACGAACTTGGTTCATATGTCCTATTCCGGTGAGAAATAGAGATCGACCCACTTCACTGATTGGTATAATCTGGTTTTTTTTAGGACGAAACCTTTTGTGAGAAAAAAGTTATTTTCCATCTGTCGTTTTACCAGAATGAGCTGCCTACTGATTATTTGGTTTTGGACTGTAGCACTGTGGATTGTGAAATATTTACTTAAGTTTGATTCTTTCTGCACGGTATCGAAGAAGTACCAGTGAGATTTTCATTGATCATATAACACAAGGAAAGTTAGCAGCCTATTCGAGTTTTTCTTGCTGATATTCGTCAGTGCAGAACCATATTCTGCTGCGACTGGTGCTATATTGGAAGGGAGTAACTAGTGAAAAATATTGGTGATCGCTCCAAACCGCGTTCTTTTGAACTTTCTGCTTATAATACTTGCTGACATTCGGAATAACACCTGTGCTGACTTCCCAATTTACTGCGATAGATGGAAAATTTAATGCTGTATGGATGGGTGCTATGGGTAGAGAGGATCACTTGACAAAAAAGAATCAGGTTACTAGCCCAAGAAACAATAATCTATTCGTTCGAGCAGTAATCCAACATTGGACCTACAGCAAAATGTTTGCTAACACTTCAATTGATCATAGTGAATAGAGAATTCTATTCGTTATTTAGTGGTGATATTTTCACCAAGGTTCGTTTATCATAGTGGACTTTTGTTGCCCAAATAGTGATTCGAAGGAGAACCGGATCCGTAATTCTTTGGGACATTCACTCCAAAAGTTATGCTGTGATTCGAAGTGTTTATGTTGGATAGAGCATTCGGTTGCTTCTGGAATAGTGGTATTTTCGAAAGAAATCGTATTATAGAAAAAAAAGGATTCTGAGGGAAAAATTGCGTTCTCTTTGGATTCTGCTATTAATCGTGATTAACATTTGTTACTATCTGTTGGATCTTTCTAAGCGATGTTGCTTGACACAGTGTTTGATTCCGTATCGAGTATTGGTGATTACGGGATAAGCATGTTGACCAGGAAGGATGTTTGCCGCAAACAAGTGAGTTTCAAAGTTCAGCCAATTTGTATTCCTTCCCGAAGCTCGTCTAAAAACCTACACTACCTGTCTGAGTGATTCCGTTAGTTGCGGAATAGCTAGTTTTATCACATTCTCATCTATTTATTGAGGATAACGGAATTGCTTTCTAGTCCTCATGTTGTTTGTTTTGATCGTTGAATTCCAAATTATATCGATTGGTGACAATTTTAAGCCTTTTACTGAGTAATAATCTGCACTTTCATCAAAAACCCGTGCTGCCCCCCCCCCCCCCAACCCCTTCTACTAGTGTGTTAGATAGATACTTTAAGACTTTCAAAAGAACTATAAATCCTCAATAGAACTTAAGACATGATGTGTAGTTTAGTATTTTGATGATTTATTTGAGAGAGAAAGTGGTTTTTCAGGATATATGCACAATAGAATGCGTTTACTTCTGATGTCTAATTCTGGTTTCTTTTTTTTTTGCACCATTTTGTTCTGCTAGAATAGGGAAGCGTCGGAAGGAATAGCTTATTTTTTTAGCAGTTTAAGAGATTTGTGCACTTTTTGTCATTTATGAGGAATATCTTAGTTGTGAAACTGTAAAACAGTGCATTTCAGATGTCTTTTCTGCTGTGTTTAGAAAACATTAAGCAAGTAATTCTGAATAAGTGTTCGATACCGATGTACAAAAACAAAGGTAACAGTAAGTTTGTGCTTTCACTCCATGAGAACAGTCTAACATATTGCCCATTGATGAATATTTCTACCAACTGTAAGCTTTATCAGTTGCATTTGTTGGTTTTGTAGACACTTCATCAGCTACTCAGGTATTTTACGATCATTCTGACTATCGTTTTATATATGTTCATTTCTTTTTCTCTCTCCTCTTATTCCTATTCCTCACATCTCTTCGTACCAGCTCTTCTCACTTGCATCTCTTCTTGCTAGCTCCTTCCTCTCACATTTCAACCCAGACGTGAATATGTGTGAGTATGGATGTGGTTGTAGATATGGATGGAGTTTTGAAATTCGATTCGAAAACAGCACCCGCGCTGCCTTCCACACCCACACTCACGCCCTGATTACAGAGAAATTCTAGGTAGAATACGATTTTTTCAAAACTTGGACTGAAATTCTGTCAACATCAGAAAAAAATAGTTATTGTGCATTTAAAACTATTCACTCTGAGGGCATCATTCTAAGCACACTCATCACTAAAAACCTACTTGAAGAAAATTCCTTCTATAAAAATTTTCTGAAGCATTTATTTTCTGTACAACATCATATCTAATTTTCAGTGAGATCAAACCTTTTCAATTGGTAAAACTATACAATGACGAAGAGTTTTTTCTACTGTGGAACTGGCAAAACGTATGACAATTCTTGTTACATATCTCTTGTTCATTTCATACAGAACTTCTCCAGCTTTTTGTTGAGAGGAAAATAATTACTATGAGATGAAAACAATCCAACACAAGCTCACTAATATTAATCAAGGGCGCTCTCTTTTTGCGAATTTCTCAAGAACGGCTAGACCAAAAGTTATGAAATTTTCTGACTAGATAGATCTCGACTTGTAGAGTAAAAGTTGGCATGGGGTCAGAATTGCCAGATGCTTTCTTCTATGAAATATAAAAAGCACAGGTGCGACAAATTATCTGGAGTTTTCACCCTTGAAAATCGCCAAAACTCATTAATTATGGCTGAATTGTTTTTGGCAACTCGGATTAAACTGCAGTGTATGGGTTCTTTTCTTTGAGAAATATTATTTTTATCGCTTAGGAGAACTGAAATACTGAAAGTCTTATCAAAAACCGTGTTTTTTCTCCCTGGGGCAAGATTTGAAAGGTCTAACGAATCCCATCAGAACATTATTTCACGAAGACAGAAAACATATACACTACCATTTGGTTCTAGTTGTCACAAAAATATTTTAGCTCAATCAGTGGAAGCGTCTGAGAGAAAAAGGAAGAACACTTCAGTTTTTCTCTAGAATGATTGATTTTGAGAAAAACACGAAATAACGGAAAATGCCATTTTTTCAAAATTTCATGTTTTTCATTTTTTTTATGCATAGCTATGAATTAATGTAGTTGAAAAGCGGCTAGTATAATGCATCGCTGACCCACATAACACATTTTGATAATGAAATAACTATAGTATAGATCATTGACAACACGACAAAGCTGCTGAATCTGGTTTTTTGTATAGGAAGTATCAAAGATCAGGTTTTTTAAGGATTTAAATAAACATAAGGATTTTTTGTTCATATGTCATTGGACAGAAGAGTCTTAAATATATTTTGAGACAAAAAACATCAAAATCGATCAAAGTGAATTTTGGGAGTTGACCAAGAGGATGTGCTCTTAAAAATAGAAAAATCTGCTGGATAGTGATAATAACTAAGCTCTTCTTAAGAGAATGATATTTTGAAAGACTTACGTTTGCTCACTGTATTCGTTTGAAATCTTCTATGTTGACAAGCAGGATAATAGTATAATGAATCGAATTTTTTCTATGCAAAAGAAAAATGAAAGCATTATGTTACTTATACACAAAGAAAAAATATGTTTGGCTTGTGTGCATTCGTCCATGCACATAAAAAAAAACGTGATCATATATTATTTGGATATTTTTTTTACATACTTATATTAGCGTTGTTCTGCTTTTTCTCTCGTTCGTTGCTTGAGCAACTTAGTCGAAGGAGAGAGAGTGAAATAAATGTTACTAATAATGTGCACTTTAACAAGGCTTGATTTGTTTTTTTTTTGATTGTCATAAAAGCTAGATAAAATATTAAGGCTTCACAACCAGTAGTATACTGTTCAATACCATTGATCCTGGTAGCGCCAAGCTTCTAACGTTCTTTCTACATATAAGAGAAGATATTGGATTTCGACATTACTTAACGAAACGTTTTGTGCTCATGACTATGTTTTTCATCAATGATCGAGACCCAAATGTAGTCCAAGCTTCAGTACCGGCTCACTCTCAAAAGAGATATAATTTTTGTCTAATATAAATGACTTTGAAAAAGTTGCTGCTATTTAAAGCATCTATAGCTATTTAAGCACTTGCATAGCTACTCAAACAGTTGCGTGAGTATTTTTGCGCTCCATAGCTATTTAAACCTTCTATTGCCATTTAAACAGTTCTTTGGATACTCGTAAATATCAGCACGAATAGCTGTTGAAGTCGAAACAGTATTTGGTGATTGGCAGTAAAAGTGAATAGATTGGTATTGCGGTTAAACTGACGATGAACGATTTTTTCAACGGTATTTATCTTTTTGAGCAAGGATGGCGGTGTGAAATGATGGGTGAAAAGGGCTTGGGTGTCGAATGAGTAGGAGTTTGAGTGCGTGGATGGTTGATCAATGTTACAGCCACACCACACACCCACACCCGGCTACCCACCCTACTCTTTTTGTATAAATATAAGTATTGTTCATCGATCGAGAACTAG